TCTGAAAACTCTATTTTGACGAAGTTCTGGAATTTTCAAAATTATTTTGCATAACTTTCCGAAGAACAAAACTATCCATGAGAAAAAAGTGTGAGAAGAAAACTTGCAGAGATTATGTTACAGCCCGAAAATAGAGAGTTTCAGATCGGCTGCAAGTGAAATGAAATTATGCGGTTAAAAATACTGAAATTGTTTACTGAATAGAGAACAATTCAATATTGGAATTTCGTATTTTTTTATCCTAGAAGTTCATTTTACATTCAATTCGTTTGAAAGTCTTTATTCTCGTGTTCGGACGAGTCTTCTACAAGTTTTTTTTTCTCACACTTTTTCACAGAGGTGATTTTGTTTTTCGAAAAGTTGTCTAGAATAATTTTCAAAAAGTTTTTGTCCTACTAGGAACTTTAGTGGAAAACTAGATTTGCAAACTCTAGAACTTCGTCAGAAAAGAATCGACTGATTAAATAAAAAGACAAACGATATTATAAAAAATTTGGCATCTCATCAGAAATAGACTATGGACCGCTACACTTTTTCTCATAATGTTTGCCGAATATCATCTATGAAAATCGAATGGGAATTTTCTCTCTTACTTGCAGATGGTTTTTTCGATTTGGAATGATTCGTTATTGATTGTAGAAGAGGATGAGAAGGTTTCGTTTCTTTCAGTTGAATTGTATAGAGATTGTTACCTTGATCGAGACAACCAACGACAGTAAATTGTGTTGCAGCCATAAGTAGTACTTCCTCCTCGTGTGGAAAGTAAGAATGTTTACTTATATCTTTGCCCGAATCACATTGAATAGTAAACATAGTTCTTGTTCCTGTGGTGCCCAAAAATAGGTCTGATTGCAAAACATCAACAGAAACAGTGCAGGATGAGAAGCCCCACCATACAATAGTCTTTCCTTTGGGATATTTGTCATGTAAATCTACTTTGATGCCACGAAAAAGAAGTCTATGTTCCGATGAGATTTGCGATAAAGCAGTAAGAAAGAGTTTGAGATAGAGAAACCACGGTTCGAGTTTATTTCTATCTTCGGATCGAAGGGTTGCATTCAATGCAGCATAGAGGCATTTATCCAGTGGCTTCCATCCCATAGTATACAGCATAATAGAAGCCGATTCATCGATGGTCATGCCATCGGGTGGAGGTTTTTTGCATTGTTGTTTGGCAGTGTGTGCATAGCTTTGAATATTAGGTACTAAATGTACTAGAGGTTCGACAGCAATTTCAAGTGGAACAAGTGGTACTTCGTCGTAACCACCGATAGGCGTTAATATCTGACAGGGATCTTTCACGATATCCGATATACGTACAATACTTTGTCTATTGTCTCCTTTGCTACTTTCGGCCATGTCGAGAATGAATAATGATATGATTGATCGTTGTAAATTTCAATTTCTGCAAAGACAAAAAAACTAGAGATATTATTTTTAATTAACTTGACTGGTTCCTTTTGCAAGTGGAAATATGAATCTAGGTTAGCATTTTCTCTTGTTCAAAAATAATAAAACATTATTTTTTCTGATGAAGTCGAATTGAAACTAGCCATAGAGCAGAGCATCATGAGAAATGCAATTATTCATTATATTCCTGTTAAGGTTATTAGTTTTTCCCATTTTCTGACTTTCATGGTAAGGATAATATTTGGGTGTGGATGCAAATATGGATATACAATGTGGTAGGCTTATAATCGGTAAGAAATAATAGACGGGTCAGATGCGGCTGATCACTAGTCACCCTAAAAAATATTTCCAGACCAGCGAAATCGGCGAGTTCACAAAGTTTCTCAGACGATAAATTTAATATTAGAGCAAAGTTTCGTCCGGAATACCTGCAGATTGTTGCACTTGCTTTTTCGAAATGCTAATATTGCAATTAAATTAGTCTTATTTCCAATTGAATTATATCGCTTGCGAAGAAAAAAAAACAAGAACCAACCTATGGTTGTACTCGGTCGAGAGCTTTTGAACTGGCTGAGTGCATCCGGTCCAAATATTAGACCGATCGGATATGATCGCTTCAAAATATCTTTCAAACCAGTGAAAACCAGCAAAATCAGATATTTACAAGCTTTCAGAAAGAAATATCATGTTCTAGTCGTTTATATGTGTTTAGTTTCTGAAAGATGAATATTTAGTACTTATATATAGCGTGAAAAATGAGCTGTGTCAATTATCCTGATTGCCCAACTCAAAATTTTGAATTTCTCACTTAATCTTTACAAACGAACTTAACATTTTTCTTCAAATAGCAGCTGAAACATAAATTTAGTCTACAATAGAACATATATGAGATATATTTACCTCAAGTAAGACAGTTTTGATTGTAATCTTTATAAAACTGAGTATGCTTCGATTAAAGAAATGAAATAGCGTGTAGGAACAGAAAAAATAAAACTGACAATTTTTGAAACGACACTGGTTGACTATTTTGATAACAGCAAGCAAACTTGCTCGCAACAAGTCTTATCAGAAACAAATGGTATATCAATAAAATATTTTTCAATCGATAAAAACCGGCGAAGAATCGTCGGTGCAACTATTTCAACTCGTCCAGTCTGTCCGAGTGGCTGCGAGCGTCGGTATAAGCATGGATGTGGGTGTGGATGTGAATATGAATATCGGTGTCGATACCCATATGGGGGCGAGTATGATTGTAAGTGTGGATATTGGCGTGGTTCTGAATTTAGGCGAACAGAAGACAGGGATTCCGTTCTATTTTGATATCATGGCTACCGATTCGATTAAGTTTCAACTATTTCTTTTGTTTAAGAATTTCGGTCGAACTTTGTCCGAAAGTTCCAATAACTTCCGTTCAGTTTCAATAGGATCATCACGAAACTCTCTATAGTATTCACCCATCGAAATTCAGTCAACATTCATCGACATGGAAACCGGAGGAACTCAAAGAAATGAAAATTTTCTGACGGAATACGAATGACATCAATAAACAATATACTGAACCTAGGATAAAAGCATATTTCCAGAAAATATGGCTTTAGATGACGAAGTAGATTTGAATACCATAGTGGCATTTAAAATAATCAATTGTGCTGAAGCAATATTCCCGAGATAATAAAAACTAGTTGTAGTAAGTAGAGGATCTACAGAAACTTATTTACAGAATTCTGAGATAACCTGAGAAACTGCAGGTGCGATACTGAAACACATTTTAAACAATATCTTTCTGTAATAAATGTGTCAGTTTTATAGGGACACGGTCAGCTGACAACGATGAATGAATTAATTAAGCAAGAATCTATGGTAGGAAGTAAAAGTTGACAAAAAAAACCCTAATCATCACGGAATTTCATTATAATCGATAACGTTCTACAACAAACTCTTCGAGAAAAGCATAGAAACTCGTTTTCACTGCGCTCTGATGTTTTTTTTTGTTAATTACTAATAATCATCGAAATTAAATTCAACAAAAAGTTATCGTCAAAACGCTTCAACAACAAATTCGAAACTAACTGTTTGACTAATAGTTGGAAGGTAATCAAAACTTCGAAGATTGGCTTACCAATGCTCGTTCGCCGGCTTTCTTTGAAAGCGAGAAATGAAAATAAACTACATAAAAAAAAGCAGAGAAATATTCTCTTTCAACACAAGATAGAAGAAATAAATTTGCCATGTGGCAACGAACAGAACGGTTAAATCAACACTTTAACAGTCGCCGTCAGAGAAGAACTCTATATGTTGTTGATGCAAACATGGAAGGTTTACCTTTACGTCGTCACTGCAAAAAAATATATTTCCATTTCATTTGAATAAATTCCATCAAACTTACGATGCGAAAGAAAGTCTTTTAGAAGAGAATGCTTGAATAAGTCTACTACTCCAATAGTCTCAAGGGAAGGCAAATGGGGAAATGGCCATTTTATTTGAAGATTTGTCCATTGAAATTTTACCCTTCAGGATTGTTTACTTATTTTTGAATTAAATGGTAACTGTATTTGCTTGTCTTCTGTCTGAATCACACATGCACTTTTTGCTTGTGCTTTCTGTGAAGAACTAAGACAAAAAGAAAAGAGTTGGTTCTTTTATTTTAAATGAAAGTTTGGGTGAACCTAGATTCGAGAAGAGAAACAAGAACACATGTATATATAGCTATATATAGATAGAGAGAGTGACGCATAAAAGACAAAACGAAATATCCAATGACGTATATATGAAAAAATAAAGGGAAAAACCAAGATGTGAAATGACTTAGTTCTTGAGGATTTTGATGATAGAATTTGAAATATTAATGTTATAATTAGGGACATTAAAAATAGACTAAAATACAACTAACTCAGGTTAAAGATCTTAGTTTGACGCATCTACGACTAAAATAGCCTCATTCAATTTTCTTGTCCTTTTTTACGTTATCAGTACTTATTTGGGCTAAAAAATAGAATTACTATTTTTTCATCATGAATTCAATTCATATTTATTATTTCTGAATGGTTCATATAAGGACTTGTGAAGAATACTTCGGTCTTTCAAATGAGATTATTTATAGCCAAGGGTCTTCATAAAGTCATTTAACAAAAACGAAAATTATATATCTCCGCGATTTCTCATCCAGATTGGGCAATTTGTTTTCATTTGAAAGAGAAATATTTGAAGTTTTATTTGGTAATAAAATGTTCTACATGCGCTGCTCGAAAGTGTCACCATTTACATCAATACAAAATTTTAATGTTTTTACAATACCATTGAAAACATTATCTTATATCTCTTTCTTTTATTCCTTTGATTGCTCTTTCAATTCTGTTTTTAATATCATCAATATCATCAAGTCTTATTTGATATATCCGCACAAAAAAAAATCAAATGAAGTTAAATCTAGAGACTGCGGTGCCCAAGCCATTGATCCATCTCTTCCAATTCATCTGCCATCAAAATTACATTTAACCATGCACCAACTTCTTTTGAAAAGTGCAGGAGTGCATCATCTTGCTGGAAAATAATCTTATTATTAAGTCTTTTTCTTTGTAGAGTTGGATAGACTACTTTTTTAACATGTCAAGATTATTATGTTGATTGACTGTAGCAGCATCTATAGCAGTTTCAGGAGTAGTCTATAGATTATTTATTGCTCAAATAGGACAATTATGCTTTTCCACAAAGCGGAAAATATAAAAACTTCACTTATCAGCGAAAAAGGTTACCGTCATTTCCTAGACTTTCCAGAATAGGTATTGAATGCTCTGCTATTTTCACACGTACATTCATATCTTCATCATATAAGTGTTTAGTACCATGCATTATATACAGTTTAAATCCAATAATAACACGCATTATCCAATATGCTCGATATTTTGAAATGGTTTCTTGCCAAGTAATATTTCCTATGCTGTCTGTTAGTTCCATCTCTATATTCACGTCAACTTGTTGAATTTTATCTTTTAGTATTGTCTATGGTCTTCCTACACGACTTAAGTCTTGAAATAAACCGATTTCAAGAAACTTTTGATATATTGATAGAATGGCCTGTGTGGGCGTGGATATAGATACGAATGTTTCCTTCACACCCACATCAACTAGAATTCTTTTAACTGTATCCATCGCCCGTGATTTACATACAGATGTCGATAGTAAGAGGTGCATTTGCTATTGGTAGAACGATTCAAACGAATTTTTTCTTACAGGCAATATACTAGATAATTATGTCATTCTATCGTTTTAAAATAAAAAAAAGACCGCACGGGATAAGGATGAGTGGTGTGGGTGCGTGGGTATACGTTCAGAGAAGACCCGCAAAGACACCCACATCCACCCACACCCTCAATTTATTGATAGATCGTAAGAAATGTCTAGCAATTCTATTCAATAAAAATAATAGATTCCGAAACTTTGGTGTCTGTTCAACTCAGCTAAGCTTCTGGATCGAATTGAATACATTCGAATAGTATAAATTTAATTAGAACGATATACATGTGCTCCAAAGAGGTTCAGTACTTTATGTCATATTGGTCAACTTATAAAGAGAATCGCAATGGTATTCTTGACTCATATAGGCCAAAATTGAATCTGCTACATTAAAGGCATGAAAGCATAAGCCACATGTACATACTGTTAGCACGTCGAGACAAGATAGTGAAAGCATTATTCATATTTTAAAGTAAATTACAGAAACACAAAAATCATTTTTATACATGAAAGTAAGAATCTAACTAACATTAGATTAGAGGGAAAAACCGAGGTAACGTATGTCTGAAGTTTCGTCCCAGCAAATCAATCCGTTTATCAAGACTAATAAAAGCTTCAATTTTTCACTTAAAATTAAATTCACATATCCTGACAACTGCTGCCAGTTAACTAGCAATGAATTCAAATCATGATTCCAACCCGCCTCATTCTACATCGATTTTCTGAGCTGTCACACCAGAAACAATGCTGATAGATGATACATCAACAATGTACTGAAATATTCCACGAATATATATATATATATACATGAATGCTTGTTTAGTCGATGAAGCACACACCATAGAAACTTCAACAACATTTTCTGAGTGAAAACGCATACATGCTGCTCTCAAGTTCGTATCCACTTCTCCGTAGATCAATTCATCTTAATTGGACTATATGAATTATCGATCATGAAAAAATGAGATAATTTTTAAAAAAGCATGAACTTTTGATACTTTTTCACTGTTAATAAATCAAATCTCCGATAATCAGACTCTAAAACACATCAATAAATAAACATTTTCACACACCAAGCAAACAAACATGAATCAAAGACTCCGAACCCATTGGTGACATGGCTACCTCCAAAGCTCAATATATGCTAAATAAACTTGAAACACCTTCCACACCTACACTATTCGGCAAAAGCAAACAGTATGACTACAAGCACTATTCTTCCTCTTTCAAAAGGCTTATGCGACATCTGTACGAAACAAACAAATTTGTCTTCATTTCATCACTTTAACGTAATTCAAAGCTCTATGTTAACTGTTCAGTACTCACTTCACTATAATAAAACAACTCATTTTGTTTAAAAAAAAATCGAAAAATCGAAAGTTCCGTATTCATAACATCCATAAAGCTTCTCAACTAAACCATTCTGAGTATTCCTTTTCATAAGCTTGTTCGTTTTTTGTTACCCGCAATCACTTCCTTGAAAAGAACTTCGCGTTCATATGTGAAGTCATTTGCGGAGAGATCAAGCGTGTTGAGTGTCTATGTGAGAAAAAGTACATATGAGCAAGGGAAAGCTGAAGTGAGGGTGAGGCTCACCGTGTTATGTTGTAATGCATCAGCAATATGTTGTGCCCCTTCCTCTCCGATTCCATTAAAGTGGAGACCTAGTGTTATGAGTGTCTGCGTGGAAAGTAAAGACGTGGGTAAGAAACACATGAAGAGAGAATGAGATTCACCGTGTTATATTTTAATGCATGAGCGATATGTTGTGCTCCTTCGCTTCCGATTTTATTTTGTGAGAGATTCAGTGTGGTGAGTGTCTGTTTGAGAAAATGTACATATGGGTAAGCGATAGATGAACTGAGGGTCTGGTTCACCGTGTTATGTTGTAATGGACGAGCCATATGTTCTGCTCCGAGAGCTTCGATTTCATTTTGGTAAAGATTAAGTGTGATGAGTGTCTGTGTGCAAAAAAGTGTACAAGGCGATAAGAGATCGATGATGAGAAAATAAGATTCACCCTGTTATGTTGTAATGCATCAGCAATATATTGTGCCCCGAGAGCTCCGATTCTATCCGAGAAGAGATCAAGTGTGGTGAGTGTCTGTGTGAAAGAGTGTAGAAAGGGATAACAAATAGCTGAAGAAAGAATGAGGTTCACTGTGTTATGTTGTAATGCATCAGCGATATGTTGTGCTCCTGTATCTCCGATTTCATTCAATTGTAGCTCAAGTGTGGTGAGTGTCTATGTGAAAAAGTGTAGAAGTGGGTAAAAGATAGATCATGAGAAAATGAGACTCACCGTGTTATGTTTTAAGGCATCAGCAATATGTTGTGCTCCGAGAGCTTCGATTTGATTCGATGAAAGATTAAGTGTAGTGAGTGTCTGTGTGAAAAGATGTCGAAGTGGGTAAAAGATAGATCATGAGAACATGAGACACACCGTGTTATATTTTAAAGCATCACCGATATGTTGCGCTCCGAGAGCTCCGATATGATTCGAGGAAAGATTTAGTGTTGTGAGTGTCTGCGTGAACAAGTGTAGAAATAGGTAATTGATTGATGACGAGAGAATGAGCGTCACCGTGCTATGTTGTAATGCATTAGCGATATACTGCGCTCCTTTGTCTTTAATCTGATTCGAGGAGAGATGAAGTGTGGTCAGTGTCTGTGTGCAAAAGTACAGAAGTGGGTAAGAAATAGATGACAAAAAGCTAAGGTTCACCGTGTTATGTTTTAATGCATCATCAATAAGTTTTGCTCCTTCGTCTTCAATTTGATTTCCGGAGACATTAAGTGTGGTAAGTGTCTGTGCGAAAAGATGTAGAAAGGGATAAGGAGTAGATGAAGAGAGAATCTGATTCACCATATTATGTTGTAATGCATCAGCCATATGTTGCGCTCCGATAGCTCCAATTTTATTGTTTTCCAGATCAAGTATGATGAGTGTCTGTGTGAAAAAATATAGAAGTAGGTAAGAGAAAACTGGGACAAAGCTGAGATTTACCGTGTTATGTTGCAATGCATCAGCAATATATTGTGCTCCAATCATTCCGATTTTGTTATATTCGAGACCTAGTGTTATGAGTGTCTGTATGAAGATGTGTAGAATTCGTTAAGAGAAAACTGAAGAGAGAATGAGGTCTACTGTGTTATGTTGTAATGCATCAGCGATATGTTGCACTTCGAGATCTCCGATTCCGTTTGCGGAAAGATGTAATGTGGTGAGTGTCTGTGTGAAAAAAGTGTAGAAGTAGTTAAGATATAACTGAAGAGAGGATGAGGTTTACTGTGTTATGTTGTAATGCATCAGCGATATGTTGTACTCCGAGATCTCCGATTTCATTGCAGAAGAGATTTAGTGTAGTGAGTGCCTATGTGAAAAAGTCTAGAATTGCGTAAGAAATAGCTGAAGAGTGGATGAGGTTCACCATGTTATGTTGTAATGCATGAGCGATATGTTGTGCTCCGAGAGCCCGAATTTCATTCTCACCGAGACCTAGTGTTACAAGTGTCTGTATGCAAAAGTGTAGAAGGGGATTAGAGATAGATCAAGAGGTAATGAGGTTCACCGTGTTATGTTTTAATGCATCAGCAATATGTTGTGCTCCTTCGTCTCCGATTGCATTTCTTTGCAGAACAAGTGTGGTGAGTGTCTGTGTGAAAAAAGTGTAGAAGTGGGTAAGGGATAGATGACGAAAACCTGAGGTTCACCGTGTTATGTTTTAATGCATCAGCAATCTGTTGTGCTCCGACAACCTCGATATGATTCGAGGAGAGATCTAATGAGATGAGTGTCTGTGTGAAAATATGTAGAACTATGTCAGTAATAAATGAAGAGAGAATGAGATTTACCGTGTTATGTTTTAATGCATCAGCGATATGTTGTGTGCCGGGAGCTAGGATTTGAGTTGAGTAGAGATTAAGTGTGGTGAGTGTCTGTATGAAAAAAGTATAGAATTGGATAAGAGATAGATGATGAAAAGCTGAAGTCCACCGTGTTGTATTTTAATGCATCAGCGAGATGTTGTGCTCCGAGAACCTCGATTTCATTCCAGGAGAGATCCAGTATAGTGAGTGTCTGTGTGAAAAGGTGTAGAATTTGGTAAGTGACAGATGAAGAAATAATGAGGTTCACCGTGTTGTGTTTTAATGCATCAGCGAAATGGTGCGTTCCGCGCGCTTTGATTTGATAGCTTTCCGGACAGAGTGTACTGAGTGTCTGTGTAAAAAAAGACGTGGGTATGATGAAGAGATAGTTGAAGAGAAAATGAAGTGCACCGTGTTATTTCAACATATGCTTTTGACTAGAAATGAAACCATTTTTTCATCGTTGGCGTATACGACGTTATTGTCTTGTGAATAGTGAGCTGTAGGTTAGGTTTTTTCTGAATGTGTATTTACGTATTACAGCGATCAGAAAGAAAGAAAGCGACAAAGATTTTTTTGGAAAAAGTTTGAGGGAAACGGCGCGTTGGAGTTGAGTAGGCAGATATTTGTAGGAATTTCGCTTTGTGTAGCAACAGCGCCAGAGTCTGCTTATTCTCATATAGAAGACTACCACAGTGTCGTTATTTTGTTGATATGCAGTATGTGTTGAGTTTTTCTCATGTCATCAAAATACCTGATAAGTGATGTTGTTCTCAGATATTATATGAAAATTTATGCGTGTAATGGAATAATGTTTAATGATAATGAGTGTTTTCTGTCTCAAGTAAACAGGGATTAGATGTTTTTTAGGACAGCCGTTCAAATGTCAGACAATTATTGGTGATATTTTAGGTGAAGATCGTAAATTTTGGTTTCTCGAGAAGAAGAGATGTGAGAACCCGATTCATACAAATATTTCTTTTATGTTTTTCAGATCGAAAAATAGAATTTATCATTTTTGGTAAATGTTCGTGAAAGCATGGTTTTCATATCTTTTGGAAAGGATACTAATAGCCAGTGACTAGGTGTTGATTTCAACGACTCTTCTGATTTGCATATTTGAGTAGCGATTGAGCGGGAAACTGTGCTGAAAAACATGAAAAATCTATGGAAACCGAAAGAACATTGTATTCTTAAAGAAAATCCTTGAGAAACTGACTAGGACAAAACCTGTAGTCGAATTTTCGAGTGGAAATATGTATTGAATACTAATGGAATAAATGAGATTGTGTTGAGGAAAACTGATCATTAACTGACATAAACTAGTCTGATAAAAATGTAAAAACGAATAGTAGTGCGGATAATATAGTCGTATGCTGAAGGTAATTACTATAATTTAAATATTTTTTTGAATAGACTCTAGAGAGTTTGGATAGTTGCTGATGTACAATCTCAGTAAGAATGCTTTTGCCTGATAAATTTTCAAAATAGAAGAAAAACAATATTTTAACCTTGAACCCTATGATTATATGCGAAAAGGAACCGATATTTGCAACTATCTCGAGCTATCTGAGAAATTTCGGCTTATCAGTTTTTTAGCCCATCTGTTATATATATTGCGTTTCTAATAGTTCTTTTTGGCTAATAATCGTATCTATGCATTTCCACTGATACTTTTATCATAGTCTCATCTTGTTGATGAAGTTTTGATCTTCAAAAATATTAGTTAATCTCCTATTCTCGTAATCGTTTATACTGAACTTTGATGTGTGATCGCATTTTATAAATTCTACTGTGTAGTGTAGTATTTGTTTTGTAAACAAATAATGCTCATTTCCTACGTATGAATAAATCAATTTTAGAAATAGATGGCTAAAACAGGCAAATAGAAACCTAAATAGTTTGTTCAAAAAGCAACACTAAAGCATTGACTGCTAACGAATTTGATGTATTGAAGAATAGTAATATCTTTCATACTGTAGTAGTGCGAGTTTAATCGACACGAATCTGAATTCATTATTCTAAAGAATTAAGGAAAATGAATAGATTCGAATGAATAGATATTGGTTTATTCTTTTTGTTTGTTGGATTATAAAATAAAAGGAAAAATCAGAAGAGGACGAAGTATATTCAAGCACAGGTTAACTCGTAAGAACGAAAAGATAAAGAATATGTTTCTTACAAAAGAATAATAAAATAAAATACTAATTAACATCTGTGAGTCTCATGCTGAATGGCAAGTGCCATTGTCCTGTTTGGTATACACACTCTGAGAAACAGTTGAGTTCGAGAAAGTGGAAGAAAAAAAATCATAGAAAATTCTTTGCGATGAAAAAAAAAACAATCAAACTTAAGGGTATCGATGTGTAATTGATGCTAAGTAAATTCACGTATTAATATTATTTGAAATTCATTAATGATTCAAATAAGTTACACAACAAGATTCGGAATGGGATGCTCGGTCAAAACTTCAATTTTCTTTCGAAGGAGGATTTTCAATCTAAGAGAACAAAAAATCTGATTTTAATCGAATTTTTTCTTAACTAAAAAACAATTAATTAAGGTGGTTACAATTGAATGCTATAAAAAATATAGTTGTTCAAATTTGAAGATAGATTCCACTCGATTTTTGTATCTTTTTTAACTAATTTAAAAAAAAACAGTTTCAATCGATAGAACTTTATTAATTGATCTCAAAAAGGCTAAAATCCGTGGAGAACTATTTCTAAAACAAAAGGAAAATTTGGTTTCAATCAGAATTAAGTGGTACCATTTCAATTGATTTTCACCAAAAAAGAATTGATTTTATTCAGATTTCTCGCAAAAAAATCTTACGTGGACCCTTCAGCTCACACGTGGTAACAATTACCAATTTTTATTGTATGAATATTTTAGAAATTTTATTTAGTCAATAAATAAAATTAGAGCATTTATTTGATTCAATGATATTTCTCAGAGAAATACTTTGTGACTCAAAGTAGTAATCAATCTGACTCTTGGTAATTGTTTAACAGACATTTGACTCGTGAAAACTTATAGTAATATATGATAGTCTTCAAAGGCTTGGAGTATCCAGAAAAGCATTTTTTTCTTATTGTTAAATAAGTAATCCGACTTGTTTATTATATTGTTTTGAAACCTTGAACTTCTCTCGACCTTATTCAATTCAAGATCACAATGACAATGAACTTTTACAATGTTGTAACATATGACTAGAGTGATTGTCGACATCAATTGTTTCGAAATCCTTTTTATAAAAGGAATACACTTTTAATCGTGTCATTCTGAGTTGGACTTAACCGAAAGATTTCAAAAGCGGAGTGATTTCGAGGTTTTTCTTACAGAGATACTAATGAAAAGACTAGCAGTTTAGAAACTATCATCATGTCTGCTTATTATTTTTGTAAAAGCGAGCGTTTTTCTGGAATGTGTAATAAAATGACGAATCTCATAATCATGTCTTTGTATAATGAATTTTGATAAAAAGAACAACAATATTATAATTAATAACGTTCTAATTATATAAAAAAAAACAACACTTGATATTAATTATCTAGAGATATCTAAATAATATGGGCCTATTATTTCTTTCACATCTGTTTAATTTATTCTTATCAAATAATTTTTTTTCTGTAAATCTCAATGTTATTCTATCGAATCTAGTTTCTGTTGTAGTTTTTATTTTGAAAAATAAAACTACCTTTGATTGTATATGAATAGATCTCATATGAAAAATAAATCATCTGTTCGAAAAAGAATACTAACACATAAAATACTATGAAAAATTACAGCGTCAAGTTCCGACTTTCACTTCTTCCGAATTTTACTCTTGAATGGTATCCTTTGTTCTTTTTCAAATTCATTACAAATATGTAGACTCAAGTGTGCTCTTGTAATATTGATTAAGCAAACGTTTATGTATCACATAGCTATATCATTAAAAAAAGATTCCAAAAAAACAAATAATTAAGATTGCTACCTTTGAGACAATATAGAGGCACTTAGAAATTTTAATAGAACACGGTTGTAGTTGCTGTCCTTCTTTCAGATATATCCATACTGACCCTCGCAACTATGAATACATGTATCAATAATAAATTTGACACGAAAAATTCATATTAGCTGAGAATAAAATTTTAGAGAAGACAAAAAGCAAGATCAATCGAATCAAATTCGATTGAA